GTGGCTCAGAGATGAGGAGACTGAGGGGCAGAGAGGGGAGGTAATTGCCTTAGGCCAGTGCTAGTGGCCACAGGATCAGAGCCTGATAGGCCAGCTCCTGGGGCCTCCCTGGGCTTCCCTGCCTCTCCTGTCACCTGGGCAATGATTCGTCCCCTGAATATGCTGGCGGAGGTGAAATTACCTAATATGCCTTGATGTCAACAGCGAACAGGTGGAATTGTTAACATTTTAAAGGGAGGTGCATGGAAGCCCTTTGCTTTCTGACCTCTCCCACAGACACCCCAAAACCAGCTCCTCTCTGGCCCTTGAGCCCGTGTGGTCTGTCCGCCTCCATCAGAAAGGAAGCTCCCAAGAGTGAGACCTTTGCTCAGCGTGCAGCTGGGTCCCCGAGCCATGAATAAGGCCTCCTGAGGCACTTCCTGTGTTTGTCGAAAGACTGAATTGGGCAGCATCCGAGCTTGTGACTTCTGGGCATCCAGACTGAGCAAGGGGCCAGGCCAGCAGATTCTGGCTCCCCCAGCCACCTCGCCGCCTCCCTGGGTCCTGGGTTGGCCGAAATGCTTGGTGCAGCAGTGCCAGGCACATGTCTACTCTCGCCCTTCATCACACCCACGCCCATGGCGCCTTGAGTGTCGTCCTCCTTGCTCTCTGCCCAGCACCTTCCCCTTGTGCTGTTTCCTCATGTGCTGACCCCTGCCTTGTCCTTCCCAAGGGCCGCAGATTGTGCTCAGCGTGTACGGGCCAGACGTGTTCGGGAACGACGTGATTCGAGGCTACGGGGTGGCGCATGTGCCTCTCTCGCCCGGCAGGTGGGTCCTCACTCTGAGCTCGGCCATGCTGGCCCAGGGACCTGGGCACCTTCAGCAGGGTTTTTCTGGGGACAGACTTCACCTCTAGGCTGGGAATGTCCTGGGTCCCCAGAGGGACTGAGCTGGCTTGGGGGTGGGAGTGCAGCCCATATCTGGGAGGAGACCCAAGCGGGTGAGGCTAATGCTGCTGTCCGAGCACAAGGTGGGGTGGGAGGGAGTGTCGGAGGGCCCGGCAGGGAACATGGGGACATCCTGAGAGGGGCTGGGTCTAGCTACAGATGCTTCCCGGCAGTTATGGTCTGGAGTTCAGATGCTCGTTCCTTCCCTCCTTCCCTCCCTCAGTGTCCTGTGAGCCCCCACCGATGCCCCTTCTGGGCCTGGCTCTGCTGACATCAGAGGACACATCTGTGTCAGACACACGTGTGATCACATGGGCCCTGCCCTCAGAAGCCCCCAAGTAGTAGACATGGATGGAGAGACGTGATTCTCTTGTGGAGCACAGCGACAGGGTATAGACGCACAGTGTTCCAGGGCACAGAGGAGGGCCAGGGTTAGCTGGCCTTAAAAGTTGAGGAGTTTGTCTAGAGAAGGTGGAGGGAGAAGGAGCAACAGCAGGTGCGCTGAGCGCTCTGTGAGTTACTGTGGAAAGAAAAAGTGCCAGATGCCGGGGGGAGCCTGGACAGGAGGAAGGGACCAGGGCGGCGAGGGGCAGGACCCCAGGCTCTGAGGAGGGGACAGGACCAGGGCAGGTGACCACAGTCCTGGGAATTGTCAGGGGCTTCCTGGAGGAGGGGCATCCAAATGGGGCCTGGAAGATAGCAGAGATCTTGGACATTTGAAGAAGCGCGGGGGCCATCTGAGGTGCATGGTGTAAGTTGGGACCCCAGGCTTGGTTTCTGTAACCCTCAGCATTCTCCCGACTCTTTAAAAGAAACAAGACTCTCATGGGACTCTGAGCTCTGCAAGGTTGGGCCCAGGCCCGCTGTGTCCACGGCGCTCTCCGGGCCCTAGTGCCTGGCATGGCCCTGTGGGCACGGTCAGCGCAGGCTGCACTGGTTGGCCTCGGCACTGACTTGGCACTGCCAGATCCGTGAGAGCTTCTGCTTGCTGGAGGCTCAGAAAGCTCCCTCGCTTTTCTCTTACTCAGCACGTCTGTCTGTGAAAACATTTGTTTCAGGCACAAAAGGACCATCCCCATGTTTGTCCCAGAATCTACATCTAAACTGCAAAAGTTTACAAGGTGAGTTTTCTACACGTCACCCCGGCCCCTCCTCCTGACATGTGGTGGGAGTGGTGGGAAGCATGTTACGTCCACCCCTCATTTGTGCCAGGCAACCTCTCCAGATCTTCAAGCTGCTCCGTCTTTTGGGGACAAATGGAAACGGACAAATGGGTCCTGTGGGGTTGCTGAGGGTCACTGGCCCCCTTCGGTCCCAGCAGCATAAGGCCATGCAGTTTTACTCTGTGCCCTGTTAGAGGTCAGTCAGACAGAGCAGAGAAAAACTTGTCAGATGGGAAAGTGCTCATAACATAATGTGACATTACAAAGGTGCGATAGGAGAGCGTACAGCAGTAACAACCAAACACCCTAAAATACCAATAATCCTAATAGGTACCTTCTGTCAGTCAGTTGCTAAAAGCCTTCACGTGTGGAAGCCTCTGCAAGGAGGTGACGCCTGAGCAGAGACCAGAGCGGAGGAAGGGGCCAGCGTGGGAGGTCTGGGAGGAGACGTTCCAGGCACAGGGAACAGCATGTGCAAGGCCCTGAGGAGAGCGCAGGCTTAGTGTGTTAGGAGCAGCCAGGAGGTGGGTGTGGCTCATAACTGGTGAGCAAGGGGGAGTGTGGGGAGATGTCAGGGAGGCGGGGGCTGAGACACAGCCTGCGGGGGTGCTTGTGGACAGATGGCGGGGAGACTGGCCCTGAGGCCTCTTGCCCTCTGCCACATCCACGTAGGAGCTGGAGGGCCGGCTGGGCCCTGGCTCACTGACTCAGGCTTGGGGATGGAAGCCCCCGTCAGCTCAGCTCAGCTGCAAGCCCCCCGTGCTCCCCAGCAGGTCAGGCGGGAGTGGGCCTGGGTGAGGGGGAGACGGAGGACCACCTGGGTTCCCGGGCAGCCGCTGGCGAGCAGTCTCTTGCAGGCCTGGCCAGCATCAGGGTGACACTTGGCCAGAGGCCTGCTGGGTGGAGCGACAGCGTCGGGCCCGAGCCAGAGAAGTGTCACTGAGCTGTGGAGGCTGGGGAGGGGACAATTTGAGTGCCCGTTGCCCCTAGAAGCTCTAGGAGGCCACCATGATGGGAACGGGCTTATTAGCCAGATGCCCTGGGCCAGTGTAAGCTGGAGGTGACAACATCCACCGCACGAGGCTCTCAGGAAAGTGGGGAAGGAGGGCAGTGGCCATCAGCGGGTCCAGGGCAGGTTAAGGTCTTTGCGAGTCCACACGGCCGTCGTGGCCAGGGCAGTCATGCAGCCGCACATCCCGCGGCTCCGAGGGGAGAGTTTGGGCCTCGCCGCACGATCTCACTGAGGAGAGGGTCCATTGCTGGAAAAGTTCGACTTCAGCTTGCCGAGCAGCCAAGGTTTTTGCCGATGCCTGGGGACAGCCGGCTCGGTGCAGGGGCCGTCTCCCGCCCTCTGGAGGGGCTCTCAACTGCCAGGCGGCCTGTGCTTGGGTTACGGAAACTGGGGAAAGGTCCGATTAGTGAAGACAGTTTGATCGACAAAATCTTCCCAGAATGGGTTTGTGGAGACCACTGAGTGACCAGCTCCGGCAGCCCCCTTCACTCCCCCAGAGACCCTGTGGCTCTGATCCGATCCGTCCCTCCCTCGCTCCCTGGCACCCTCCACGGCTCCCTTCTCTGCTCTCTCCCACTGCCTCCCAGCCCTCCTCCTTCAGCCTACGTGGCCTGCCCATTTCCACTCTCAGCTCCTGTGTTAGTTTCTCATGGCCACTGTAACAAATTACCACAAATTCGAGGGCTTAAAACAACGGAAGTTTATTTCCTCATAGTTCTGAAGGCCAGAGTCCAAAACCAGCATCAGGCCGAAATCAAGGTGTGCCCCGAGGCTCTGGGGGCCAATCCTCCCGCCCCTGCCAGCTTTGGGTGGCTGCAGCCTTTCTTGGCTCGGCATCACTTCCGTCCCTGCATCTGGTCAAATGGCCTCTCCCGCCTGTACCAGATCTCCCTGGGCCTCTCATAAGGACACTTGTGATGGCACTTCGGGCCCACCAGGATAATTCTGGATAATCTTCCCATGTTAAGATCATTAACATCTGCAAGGATCCTTTTTCCAAATAAGGTCACATTCGCAGGTTCTAGGGACTGGGACCTGCTGTCGTCGGGGCTGTTCAGCCTACAACAGCACCTCCGAGCTAGTCTTCACATAGCAACACAAAGCGTTTTTTGAAAACACAACTTCAGAAACTCCTCAGGCTCATCTCTGCATTTAGGGTTACCTTCAACTGGAAGGCCACGGGGCCCCAAGTTCTCTGGCCCTGCTGACCTATGCCCTCCTGCCACCCGCCTCCCCTGCCTTGCTTCCTCCAGCCCCTGGCTCCTCCCCTGCCTGGGCCCCTGCCTGGAGCACTGCCCTGAACAGCCTGCCTCTTGCCTCCCACCCGCCGACCTCAGAGAGAAATGCAGTGGCCCTGGTAGCTCCCTGTGTTTGCACCTGGGGTGTGCCAGGCTCACGGTGGCTGGTTCCTGTGGCTTGGTCCTCACAGCGGCCTGCTAGAGCCATGCTCCTCAGATGGAGAACTGAGGTGCCGAGAGGTGGTGATGCCCATCCAGCCCCGGCTGGAACCTGGGTTCCCCGTTTCCCCTCCCTGTCCTCAGGGCGGGGCCTCCGGGAGCCTCCTACAGACAGACCTGCTTCCCTCCCAGCGCCCAGTGGCCCCAGAAGGTGCCCTGCCCTGGGCAGCACCGGGTGGCGCCGCCTCCCTCAGGGCGTTGGGTCCAGGGTAGACTCACCCAGCCGCGGCCGGCTCCCTGCCCGTCGGGCGATGAAGGCGGCCTCTCCTGGACCGCTGGAGCTGCGCCGCAGGGCGCCAGCTTTTACAGGAACGCAGGGACCTCCAGCGGCACGGGGCCCCGCCTCTTCCACATGGGAGGCCACAAGGCCTTCTTGGCACCCCGCTCTGCCCAGGTGGTCACATTGTTGGCCCAGGAGGTGGCTCTGGGACAAAGCCCGTGTCTGCCTGGCCCACCCAGCCGGGAATAGTGCACGAGTTTGTTTCCGGCTCGAGTGGGTGTGTCGGAGGCGAGGCTGCTGCTCCCGAAGGAGCTGCCCCGGTGCAGCGCCCTGGGGCCTGGAGCCCGGAGGCCATGGGCACATCCTGCTCCACTGCTTCCTAACCATGGCCTTGGGTGAGTCACTGGACTCCTCTCCGCCTCTGTAAGGCGGGGATGCACAGAGCAAGGCTGCTGTGAGAGAAGGCAGACAGCAGGGGTCAGGGAACTTCCCCGGGGTGACGAGTTGGATGGCGGTGTCTCTCCCTGCAGATGCGTGCACCTCTGCAGGTGCATTGCAGAGTGAAAACCATAAATAGCACGGTTAATGTTTTGTGTGGCCGTGGACGGAGTGCCTTCACCTGGGAGCCCCATGAGGTAGGCACCATTATTATCCCCATCCCAGTTGAGAACACTGGGGTTCAGAGACGGGAAGTGACTTGTCCTGGATCCCACACTGTTAAGAGGAAAGTGGAGAGCCCAGATCTGGCCCTCTGCCACACCAAGGATGCTTGCTGAACTCTGGGATGGGGCCTCCCTCCCAGGGAGGAGGGGAGGTCACACTGTCCCCAGGTCCCACTCCCCTCGCCGACCTCAGCTGCTGTCACCTTCCTTGGATTTCCACCTGGTTCAAGCCATGCCCTCACGCCACCCCAGCCCGAAATCTCCCTCAGCTTTCATTCTCAGTGAATCAAACCCGTGGTTGACCACCATGGGAAAGCTTGATATCCTGCCGAGGAGGAGTGGGCTGCGGAGCACCACAGGTCTGGAGAAGCCCCCCCGGGCCTCCGTGGAGCCCAGCAGCACCGCACCCGGCCTCACCTTGCAGAAAGCAGAGGGCCTGGGTGTGGGAAGGCTGCCCAGGGCCTGGCCCTGCTGGAGGGGTAGGAGGAGGGCTGCTGGCTTCCGAGGCGAGGAGAGAGCCCGGGTCCAGGGTCTGAGGGACACCCAGGCTGGGGCCGTGCTCATCCAGTGTTCTCCTGTCTTCCCAGCTGGTTCATGGGACGGCGGCCTGAGTACACAGACCCCAAGGTGGTGGCACAGGGTGAAGGCCGGGAAGGTAAAGCTTGATCTCCCCACTCCCATAGGCAGGTTGGGGCCTAGGAGGGACTATGTGGGCCCCCAGGAAATGGGGTGGATGCCAGGGATCTGCCAGGCACGTAGGCATTGGTCCTGCAGGAGCAGGGCCCAGGAGTTTCCCAGAGCACCTCCCAGATGTGGGCCTGGTTGGAGGGTTTGCCATGTCTGTCTGTCCCTGCTGCAGCCCCTTCACCTCCCAGTGAGGTTACAGGCCGGGTGCTGTCCCCATTTTACAGGAGAGAACACAGGCTGAGAGATTCCCAGAGCAGCCTGGGTCTCTCTCTGCCCCAGCCTGACTGACACTGCCCTTCTGTCCCCAGTGACCCGTGTCCGCTCCCAGGGCTTTGTCACTCTCCTCTTCAACGTGGTGACCAAGGACATGAGGAAGCTGGGCTACGACACTGGGCCTCCGGACACACATGGCATTTTGGGGCCCAGCCCCCCTCAGGGCCTCCCCCGGTGAGGGCCCTTCCACCGCCCGCTGTGCAGGCCGAGCAGCTCTCCGAGAATGCAGGGCTGTCCTTCTGCTGAGCGTCTGCCTGAAGTGCGGCCGGCGGGGAGGGGGACCTTATACAATAAAGAGTTACCTCTTCACAGAGCTGGTCCAGGCCGCCTCCTCTCCCCTTAGCAGCCCCTCCGTGGGAGCAGGCCTCCAGGCCGGCCTCCAGCCCTTCCTGAGCTGGGCCAGGACCTGCCCTCCTCCCCGCACTGCCCAGGGCATGGAAGTTGCTGGGAGACGGCCAACTAGGACATGAGCCTTGGCCCCACGCTGGTTCTGCGCCTCGGGGCTGTGTGGCTTTTTCTGCGCCTCAACAAGCTCATCCCTAAAACAAGCGCATCGTCTGCCATGGAGGCTTCGGGACTTCTGCTGGACCTGCTGAACCAGGGCCGCCTGCTTGGTGCCTGGCACGCGTGGCAGCCGTGCTCCATGACTGCCAGCCTCCCCTGGCAAGGAGAGAAGCCTGTGAGTGGGACCTGGATGGAGAGGCCCCCAGCCAGCACTCTGCGCCCAACTCCGCACCCAGAGCGGGGCTGCAGACCCCCGACGTGGGAAGCTGCTGGGATTCCACTTCTGCCAAGTCACAGCAGGAGGGGGAGCCCCGCAGCCTGCGCCCTGTGCCCTGGGAGCCCAGCCCTCAGCACAGCTGTGCTGGAGGCTCCCTCCCGCCCTGCCCTCAGCCTGAGGCTGGGCCGGGCAGAAGCAGCGTGAGTGTGAGTGTGTGTGTACCCCCTCCCCCTCCCTGGCCTTCACACGCCCTGGGCAGGATTTCAGGGAGCCCCGCCCCCCAGCCTGGAGGTCACCAGCCTGGCCACTGCACATTGCCCTGGCTGTGGTTTACACTTGCCCTTAGAGACCACACGGACTGCCTTGCTCTGCCCTTGTCTCACTTGGTCATCTCGGCACCCGAAGCGTGTGCCGCCTGCGGCACTCCAGCCCTGCCCCCAGCTTTGTGCCCTGGTGCTCCAAAGGCTTGACAGCCTGTCTTTTCCTCCAGCTATTTTGGCAACATCACTGTCCACGTGGATGATCCTTCCCACGACTTGGCCTCTTCTCCAGCCTTCTCCCCTGCCCTATGCCCCTCAACAGCTGCCCGTTCCCATGGTCAGAGCCTGCTTCTCATTACCAATGACACCGTCGCCTGGAGAATGTGCATCCAAGCACCGTCTCCCAGACGGCCCCCTCCCTGTGTGGTCCCCGCTTCCACCGTCCTCCATTCCGTCCAGTTCCTCCAAGCCACCGACACACCCCTCTGTGCGGACTGTCGCCCCTTCCTTTCCTTTCCTCCCTGCCCGAGTTTGAATTCAGCTGCCATTTACGTGCACTTTCCCTTCAGACACCCTCAGCTCCTGTGCCTCTGGCCCTTTATCCTCCTCTGGCCAACCTCAGTCCTCGTGAAGGCTGGCCATCCATTAAGGCCGCGGCATGGTCTGAGCGTGGCCAGCAGGAGGGCTGCCCGCTAGGCCCTGGCCAGGCCTCCATCAGCGCTCCCAAGCAGTCCCCTTTACTTCCTAGTCAGCTCTTCCGCATTCCCGGAGGAAAACGCACACCGTTTGTCCTCTTCAAACCTCCACTACCCCTCCCCTCGGCCGAGTGCTCGCGAGGAAATGGAAACAGAGCTCCCTCGTGTTCCCACCGCCACCTCTGGCACCAGCCCACGTTTGCTGTGGGCGCCCCCGTCCCACTGGGCCTGCCTGAGGACCACAGTGCACGAGATCCAGGCCCTCTGGCTTCGCAGGAGTCGCTCCCCCGCTCCTCCCCTCCCGCGCTGCGCTGGCCTCTGCACGTGTGCTCCTCCTCTACGGAACCGCCACCCACAGGAAGCCCCTGCACCCTCCGCGTGCTGCGCCACGTCTCCGCCTGTCCTGTCGCGGCGCCTTGAGGGGCTGCGTCCTGTCCCTCAGCTCCACTTGTGCCTGTCAGCCTTCTCCCTGTCACCGCCCAGAAACACCGTCCTGTCAAGTCCATGTGCAAGTCTCAGGTCACAGGTACCGCCTGTCAGCACGTTTGACATAGTGACTCACCCTCTTCTCATTACGTTTAATTTTCTAATTTTTAATTTTTTCAACATTTTATTATTAAAATGTTTAAATAGAAAAGTTGAAATAACTTCAGTAAACACTCATATACAAACCCCCTAGATGCTGCGATTACCACTTTCTTGTACTGTGTTTCCACATCTCAACTCCTCATCTCTCCATTAATCCATCCTGTTTTAGTGCATTTTAAGATGCAGAGGGCCAGCCCGGTGGTGCAGCGGGTAAGTGCACACGTTCTGCTTCGGTGGCCCAAGGTTCCTCAGTTCGGATCCCCGGTGCAGACATGGCACCGCTTGGCAAGCCATGCTGTGGTAGGCGTCCCACGTATAAAGTAGAGGAAGATGGGCACGGATGTGAGCTCAGGGCCAGTCTTCCTCAGCAAAAAGAGGTGGATTGGCAGCAGATGTTAGCTCAGGGCTAATCTTCCTCAAAAAAAAAAAAAAAAGACCAGTCCGCCTCCTGCCTATTTCAGCATGCTTGCCAGTAACTGGAGCTCAGTATTTGTTTTTAGGTGTGTTTTTTCTTTTGAGGGAAGATATACATAGAATGAAATGCATAATATTAAGTGTACCACGTCCCGAGTTTTGACAAATGCACCCTCGTCCCCGTCAAGGTACAGGAAGATCCCATTGTCTGGGAAGCTCCCTCGTCCTCTTCCCAGTCCCAGCAGGACGACATAGCCAGGCTTTGGAGGCTGAGGGCATGCGCTTGCTGCATCTGGGAACTGGGGAGCGGGGTGGAGATCTGTGACCATGTACAGGAGCCACAGTCAAGGCATGCGGCCCCCAAGCTCCCCCTCACTTGCTGTTCGCTCCGTTCTCCGCTCTCCGCTGTGGCAAAGCTGTGTGCTCACCGGCCCATTTCCTTTTTCTCTGCGCTTAGGAAGACTGCATTTCCCAGGCCCCTGTATCCGGGTGGGTCCCCGTGTGAGCTCTGGCTGAGGAAATGTGGGTCAAAAGGATGTTTGCCACTTAGAGGTCTGACCAGTTTAAAACCTCCCATGAGCCATCCTTCTCATTCTTCCTTCTCCACAATGGCACATCCTGGGGCCTGGATCACCAAGCTGCCAGGAATATCCCCAATGGGCATTTTGTGAGTGAGGATCCTTTACTGGGTTCAGCCAGAGAGTTTGTGGCTCGTTTGTTCCTGCAGAGCCCATTCTATTCTGATTATCAGGAGTGGGTATCTGGTATGACCAAAACCAAACCAATAGGAACGCATGTGGCATTGGCTTAGCAGCGGGTTGGCGGGCAGGAATAACAGAGAGAAAAGGCTGGACAGCAGGACAGAACTCTGGGTGAGACCCTGTGCTAAGCCGGGAGGAGGCCACGTGCCCGCTAAGCTGACAGCTCCAGGAGAGGGGGATGGCAGGTGTGCCTTGTGCGGTGGCTACTGTTGGCTCCATGTGGAAAGTCATCACGGTAAAGAGATGAGCTCGGGAAAGAACTGGCCAGTTTGCAAGCAGAAATGACAGGAAATAAATAGAATCCAAAAATTTTGGGCATCAAAAGGTTGGAAAAGGAAACTGTTTCTAGACCTCAAATGGGAAGAGAGAAGATTGAGGAATGCTTTGAGCAATGAAGGCCTGGTGGGACTTCTCATCTCATCTGGACGAGTAACTCAGCCTTTTGGTAAATGTCTGATTAAGAAGGTGGCCTTCCCACCATAATCCCAAACGCCTCACAGTAGTTCCCATCAGGTTGAAAGAAGGCTGGGGATAAGGCAGCAAGGACATAAAGCAGGCTCATGTGTAGGGAAGAATTTTATGTGTGGGCTTCCAGTTCTCTATTGCTGTGTAGCAAACCACCCCAAAACTTTGTAGCCTAAAACCACCACCATTTCTTTTCTCTCATGATTCTATAGGGGACTGGACAGGCTGCAAGGAAGCCTCCTCTGGGGGAGGGGATGTGGTTTCGTGTATACGTGTTTGCTGACCAGAGGGCCAGCTGTGACAAACCCATTTCCCATCCCCCTGGGCACAGAGGCAGCCAGCACTTCCTTACCCCCCTGCACCTAGAGGGAGCCGTGGGGCCAGTTCTGGCACTGGGACAAGGGTGGAGGCCACACACTCCCACGCCTGGCCCCTAGGAAATCTCTAGCACTTTTCCCTCTGCTCACTCGTTCCCTTCCATGGCAACCTTCAGGGCTGTGTTTCGAAGGTGGCAGTGTCACAAGATGAAATCAGCTGGGGTCCCCAATCACTGGCGAGCTGCCCAACCAGACGCTGGACTTTGTGAGAAATACACTTGACTTGTGAAGCCACTGAGATGTGCTTTGTTACTGCAGTGTAAGCTAGAGCACCTGGACGAACACACCTCTCACCTGTCCTCAAAGTGGACCCCTGGCTGACCCAGCCTCTGGCGAACCCCCCCAGGTCCCCCGCTGAGTCCTGCTCCCCGAGCGGGCACCAGGCCAAATGTCGAGCACAGACGTGGGTGTGCAGGGCAGCCCCAGAGCAGAGGCCTGCGCGCCGGCCCCGGCCTCCCTCACCACCTTTCCATCTGCGTCTCCCTCCGCCCGGCCTTGCCTTTGCTGTACACACTCCTACGATCAGAGCACCTCTTCCATCTTTGCCTGGCAAGAAATTTCTGTCCTTCAGCTGTTGTGCCTCCCCTGATCACAGGTTCCAAAGGGGACAGGTCCTCTGCCCCAGTCAGCTATTGCCACAGTGAAGCTGCACAAGCCACCCAAGAACCAGTGGCTCCCACGGTCACTCTCTCACGAACATGCAGGTGAGCCAGGCAGCTGCTCAAGCGGGAGCTCTTCTGGCGGCATGGCCGCGGAAGAGGAAGCCAAGCCCGTGGGCTCTGGAAACGTGGCCTTGGAACTGGCAGGCTGTCACTTACACCTCATTCTAAGCAAACCTTGTGGCTCAGCCCAAAGTCCATGGGTGGTGAAATGCACCCAACGACAAGGCCATGGCACAGGGTAAAGGACTATGACCAGCACTTGCACCACCTTGCCCTTGCAGACCACTTGTTAGGGTCCTGAGGGCTGCCTTCTAGCCTCTTTCCTTCCCTGATGCTCAGAGGCCCCTGTGGGCACCAGGACCGGGCAGTGGCCTTGTTAACTGCAGGCCAAGCTGGGTTCCAGAGAACCGGCTCCCCCGCCTGCCCACCCCTCTCCTGTGTGTGGGATTGATAAAGACGGAGAGAGGGAAAGACGCAGCCAGACACCGCATCATGATACAAATGATAAATTATATTTATACAGTAAATAAGTATCAATAGTCAACACAAGTTCAAAACCAGCCACCGGCCCCTGGGACTGAGAAAACAGCTGGGTGACCCCCGCTACCACGGTGCCCTTGAGGAGGGAGCTCGATGGCATGTGTACAACATGCATGGCAGCGGCCGGTGGCTTCACGATCAGTGCAGCGGGCAACAGGGTCAAGGCGCCTGGGGAGGGGCCTGTGCCAGTAGGTGGGGTAGGAGTCTTCTTGGGCCTTGGTGGCTCAGTGGCTGTAATGTTGGGGCCTCAGAGTCACATCAGGAGGAGCCTGACTGTTACAAAAGAATCACTGCCCCACGGAGACGAGTGGTCTGCTGACTGTGAGGTGGTCGGGGTGCACCATCTGAGTGAAAGCACCTCCCTGGGGCAGCATCCTGCCCCGAGTCCCACCCTGCTCCACCCTCCCCCAGGCCGGAAGAGGCCAGGCCGTGAATGACTTCAGAGCGCACGGTCCAGCCCCACATCTCCGGCTCTGGCAGAGGCACGGCTGGGCAGGAGCTCTGGGCAGGTGGCTCCTGGAGCCACTGGCAGCCTCCGGGGCAGCACGGGTGAGCTCTTTCCCAAAGGCAGCAGGAGAGGGCCTGAGCGGGCAGCTGTGATCAGCCTGCGCCTCCTGGCGTTTTACACCTCTCCCGCACCCAGGGCTGAGGGTCCATCTTCTCTGGAACCAGAGAGAGGGGTGAAGGGGCCCCGTCCCCCTCGGAGGGACCACCAGGTGGTCAGCTGCCCTTGGAGTTGAATTTAGAAGTCCACGGTGGAAAGTGAGACTGGAACGCCTGCCAGGCGAGCGGGCCGGACACAGGACTCGGGGGAGGTACGTTCCCTGGGGAGAAGCAAGTTGTTTCCGTCTCTGATTTGTGACCTAACACTTGCTGGACAGTGGTGGGTCGGGTGGGGAGAGGGTGGTAATATTAGTGCATATTTGTTAAGTCATTGTGTGAGAATGATTTTTTTTCTTCCTCTCCAAAATAAGAGATGATTATTTTTAAGTCTACAACGTGTGACTGGAGTAGCAGGTGGGTGGATCAGGGCCAGCCCTGGTCCCTCACCTCGTCCCAGCCCCGGGGCCATCCCCCAGGAAGCCAAGGGCCCAGAAGTGCCGCTGCCCCCCAGACAACTGCTGTCTCCTCACCGTCCCCATCTGTACCCTGAGCGTGGAGTGAGACAGGAGATCAGAGAGACACAGGTTCAAGGCGTCTCTTCCACTCAGCTTTCCTTGTGAACGAAGTCCTCATCAATCCGTGCACGCCTTCAGTTACAAAAAGGAACTCACTGATACAAACTGGTGAGTCACATTCATACGTTACATTGTTTTCTTTAACTTTCTTGATGTTGGTATCTCGGTAAGAAGAGCCTCTCTCTTAGGATCTAGCCCAAAAGGCTGAAAGTCAATCCGTTTGGTAATTTACCAAGAGGGGGAGTTAAAGAAAGGAAAAGGCAACTGGAGGCTAGGATTTTTTGTTGCTGTTGTTGTCTTCTTTCTAAATAAACATCATCTTTTATGTGTAATCAAATTCCCATATTTTTCCCTATAAAGAATTTGCTTTAGTTTTTCCATAAGGCATTTTTTTGTCTCTTCCTATTTAAATTTTCTTACAGAGTTAAAACCATAAATAAGAGGATTTAAACCACTAACATGACATGTGCCCATATCTTAATTCAGCCAGACCTGGTAAATTCTATCAAAACTAGACAGTTAAATAAGAACCACCTTATAAAAATATTAGCCAAAAAAAGACTATTAGATAATTCTGCAAACTCAAATATGAAACTGTGCAAACGGATGCCAGCATAGAGCCGCGTGGCAGGGTTACGCTCGGGTGAGTTTAAAGCTTGCTCTAGTGGACTTAGTTCGAGTCGCTCCACAGCTGAGTGTTTACTTTGAACTCACACACGAGTCAAAGAAAAGTAAAATATACACAACCACTTCCCCAAAAGGTCAGTGTCTAACGGAGCCGGCACTTCATTCTGTCCACACCTGGGACTGCCTGGGGTGTTGCTAGGGCTGGGGGGCAAAGACAAGGTGGCCATCCCAAGTCCTGGGTGGAGGCAGTGGCTCAGAGACCCTCAGGCTGAGGCTGGGGGCAAGGGCAACACTGAGGACTCCCGCCTCCTTGTCCAGGGCCCCAGAGCGCCAGCTGATCTGCACAGGAGCCAGGACCCCGGACCCCGTACATGGGAGGCAGCAGTGAGGGTGGCCGGGCTGGGGCAGGGACCCTCCCGTATGCTGCAGGCTGCAGACGGGGGACAGGTGAGCAGGCCGCCTCGGAAGGCTTGGAGACCTGCGTGCTGTGTCCGATGTCTCAGCAAACCTGCCGCCACTGAGTCCGAGGGTCGGGGCTGTAAAGACAACCCCTTATCAGGGGGCCAGAACTGGAGATCCCTCATAGCCGCCCCAACTCTGAGATACCATTCCACAAAGGACAGTCCCTGCTCAGCACCCTCGGGCAGAGATGTTCTGGGCACTCGCTCTGCGGCAGGTCCCAGGCCCGGGCACTAGAGAAGGAAAGGGTTGGTTGTGCCACTGGCCTGAGCTGCCGACGGGGGGATGCCCACACTGCCCACCATGTTCATTGTGGTGGGGCCCAGTGGCGTCAGGGAGGAGCTGCTGGCTCCCAGAGCTGGGTGTGAGGCCGTGGAGGTCACAGAGGCCATAGCCATGGGCTCCACACCTGGGCCAGGCCCGAAGGACGTGCTGGACCCCAGGACTGGGCTCCCCCGCAGCTGGTTCAGCGTTGGTGGCTGGGGCTGGTTCACCTGGAAGGGGTTGACAGGGGCCGAAGCTGCAGCCGCACCTGCGGAGAGAGCAGGAGGGGCAGTGGCTCGAGTCAGAACAGCATCCATGCCCAAGTGCAAGGGCTGGAAGCACACAGCCACTGGGAGCACAGGCTCTCAGGGAGCCCACCCTGCAGGGACTGGGCGCATCCTGACTCCTGCTCTGCTGCAGCGCCCACAGCAGGCCCATGTGCGAGCTGAACACATCTCCAGTGTCTGGATGAGGAGCCTGAGGCTGTGAGAAGCCAGGAGACTCATCCAGGGTCACAAAGCCTGAACGAGGCAGTGCTGGGAACATGCCAGGCTTGTGGGGTTTCAGCTGCTTCTCAAGGCTGGACCCCAGGATTCCTTTAGCCACAAACAGCTGGCATTGCTCCCTTATTCTGTTTGTCAAGCTCTGTGACCAAGGTGCCTGGGAGAGAGGAGAGCAAAGGGGATGGTGGGAACTACAGTGTGTGGCTTGAGAGTGGCAGTCTCCGTGCTGCACCCTGGGACCCTGGCATAATAAAGGCTCTGAGAAGTTCTGTAGTCATGAAGCATATGCAGCTCTGTCTTACCCAGTGTTTCCAGAACTGATCAGAAAGCTTTTTCCCCCTTTTAGCAAAAACATCTATTGATTCTCTGCCAAAAAACACAGGAGCTGCAAGCAGTGAGTTTCCAACGCAGCCCAGCCCCTGCTCACAAAGGCTGTCCAGCAGGAGACTCGGCGCCACACTGCGGGGAGCAGGCCCCACTGAGGGCACACTGACATTCTTGCATCAGCCCCTCCCCGTAACCCTAGGAAGTGGGCTCTGCAGATCACCCCTGGTTAGAGACAAGCAAAGTGAGCCTCCAGAGCAGGACAGTGACTTGCTTGAGGCCCCCCAACTAGGAAGGGTCTGAGCCAGGACCCCACACATGACAAATGACAGCCCAGAGTGACCTGGGTGGCCTGGAGAATGGCCCTGGAGGTCCAGCGGGGCTGCCCAAACCTCCTCCACCTTGGCTGCAGCCCCCAGGGACCACGAACTGTTTGCAGACAGCACAGTTGCCCCAAGGCCCTAACAGAGCACCCCTGAGACCCTGGAGGAGGCTGCCGATGGACACAGCCTGCTGGTGGAGCTCTGCAGGGCCCCTGAAGGCTCTCTGGGCAGAGGCAGGCACCCTCCAGGGGCAGGGATGGGGCTCCAGGCTGGCTTAGGAACCTGGGTTCTAATCCAGTTCCACCCAGGGAGTGAGGAGCCATAAAGCCACCCTCCCCTGAGGGCAACCACAGCCTTAGCCACCTCAGGATGGCAGGGTTGAGTGGAAGCCAGGCACTCCACACACCCCACTTCTGCTCTACAGTCCCCAACTTCAGTCCTTGGGTCCTCCTCTGTAGGGTTCTATCAAGGGCAGTGGCCCAGATCTTCAGATCTCCTTGTCGTGGGGCAGGTCTAAGGCTGAACACCTTGTATGTGACACATTCCTGTCCTTGGGGAGCCCAAGGCCGTGCTGGGGAATCTGGGGAAGGAAGAAGGCTTCCAAGAGGAAGGCATCTGTCTGGGCTGAGTGCTTAAGGACGGATCTGATTTCCCGCTGGAAAAGAGGCAGGAGACACTCCCGGCAGAGGGAACAGAAGGCATGTGCGTGAGGAACGTTAGGAGGGTCTGAGCACACAGGGAGAGAAGGAGGGGTGGGGCCGGGCCACGAGGGCCCTGGACACTAAAGCAAGGGCTGGAAGCTTGTCCTGCAGCCCACATGGAGCCCCACAGGGTGGAGAGCAGATCTTTAGACAGAGCCTGCCAGCAGGAAGATGGATTTAGGGGGTGGGAGGGTGGAGTTCCTGGCCCCGGACAAGGCAGAATCCAGCCATCAGGGGTCAAGTGAGGATCCTTGGGTCCCTGGAGGATGGCCCCGCCAAAGGGCCCCATTACACTCCACCCAAAAGGGGGGATGTTGGGGGGCCAACCCTGGCTCTCCCTCACCCCCAGCTCCGCCCTCTTCCAGCTGACCCAGAACTGGTGCTTGCTCGAGGGTCTCCCTGGTTGGGGGCACCAAGTCAGGAGCAGCTTCTGCTCAGTGGGCTCAGCTGAGGAGAGGGGCTGTTTTCCAGCCCCCCTTAACTGAACAGCAGCTTTCAGGCCCCAGCCCACAAGGCCCTAGAGAGGCAGAAGAGCTGGTGCAGGAGCTCCCTGCTGGCTCCCCTACTTCCCAGCCCGAGGCGTGGCGCACCACTCAGTGTGGTGCCCGCACATGGGACATGCCCTCACGTGGGACACAGCGGGAGGAACCCCCTCGAGGTAGAGGAGAGGTTGGGGCCTGAGGCCTGCCCCAAACCCATTCTCAGGAAGAGTGGACAGCTAGAGGAAGCCCCAGGAAGCGAGCATACCTGGTGCCAGGAAAGGGTTGAGGGACTGGGCTGGCACGGCTGGCCTGGTCACCAGTGAGTCCAGGTTCACCAGGGCTGCGTTGGGGCCCAGGAAGGACTCGGGTGTTTTCCGGGTGCTGCTGGGCTTGCTCGAGGCGACGGTCAGGGGCTGAGACTCAAAGGGGTCAGGGCTTGCAGTTCCATTGTTTTGGGATGGCGGAGAGGCCACCGCCTCGGCTACAAGACAAAGACACACATGGGCATGGTGAGCCTGGAGGGCAGGGCCCCGAGACTGGTGCACCCAAGCCTGCCAACCCCAGGCGCGTCCAGAGCAGAACACAGCCATTCCCCAGACATGCGAGTCCCTGGGGGACACGAGAGCTGTGCAGAGGATGGGGATGTTCATTGCAGTGTCATTTCCAACAGCCCCAAACTAAAGACACACAGTCACAGGGCAGGTCCCATTATCCACTAAACACATAACCAAACCCCAGAGCGCAGGGACAAGAGAGGACTCACTGACAAGGAGCAAGACCTGCACCAAACATCAAGTGAGAAAGCAGGGGCAGGACAGTTGACAGCACAGCCCTGCAAACACCTTAGGAGGTCGTTCTGATGTTATTCTGGGTGTGTGGCTGGGCACAGGTAATTCACGGTTTTTATGTTTTCATTTTCTAAATTTTCCACAATGAACATGAATTTCTTGATAGTTAAAAAGAAAGCCAATTATTTTTTAAAATTCAGCCAATAGAGGGTGTGTGAGACAGGCCAGGCCAGTGGCAATGTGGTTGCTTTGCCAAGATGCAACGGGGCAATGCGTATAGAGGTTCTTAAAAATGGTCATACTTTCCACTCAGTAATCCCATTTCTAGGAATCCAGTCTCGGGAAATAATGCAAAATGTAAACAGGGATTTAAGCATAAAGATGTTCACCACAGCATTATTTACTTTAGCAAAACTTAAATTCAACCTAAAATGCCCTCCCCAAAATTAATGATTAAATTATAACTGAGCCATACAAAGAGATACTACATAGCTATGAAATATTTTCTAAAGAGTTTTTAACAACATGAGAAAATATTTTCATCCTGTTACTCCATACAAGTAGGGGGGCAGCATTCAACTCTATCTGAGTGTTGGTGGAACAAAGACCATGTGGAAGAGCTCAGAGAAAACACTGGAAGGAAACACAGTGCTGAGGGCAGGTGGAAGGATTAATGATGATTTTCATTTTCTCCCATAGACTTTTCCACATTTTCTACCATGGAATACTTCTAGAACTGGGGCAAAGGTTTCCCACGTCCACGGAAGAATGTTCACGCGGCGACGCCACGTGCCTTCTCACTGAGGACGGAGGGCAGCAAGGACAGCTAGGCTGTGCTTTGGCCTGCGGAGAAGACACACGGAATCTTGTTGCTTTATTAATACAAGAAGCAGCACGTTCTAAGTTGCCTCTGGTCCCCTGAGCTGAGAAGGGGCGGAGGAGCTGGTCAGTAGTGCCAGCCTGCTCATACCTTAGACCAGGAACAGCCAGGCCTGTGGCTGCAGCCAGGGGGAGAGGGGAGGAAGTGGGAGAGAGGCAGTAGGGGGTGGGGCGTGGGGGGCACAGGGAGAAGCAAAGAGAGGAAGAGAAAGGAGAGAAGTTGCTCTATGTGGCTAGGAGGGGTGGCCCTGAGATGGGACACAGGCTGCCCAGCTCTGTCCTCAGCCCCACTTAGGGATGTGTGAAGAAGGCGTCCAGGCCTCCGCCCTCTGCGCTCTACCCTGAGCCCCTCCCAAACCGGGGCGCCCAGGGGAGGAGCTGGGCCTGGAGACTTGATGGTGGGTCTCCTGGACGGGCTGGGCATGAGTGGCAGCCAGGGGTGATCGGGTGGGCAGGGATGCGGGGTCCACGCCCAGAGCCGGGGTTGTCTGGAAATGGTGGCACCTTTGGGCAGTGGGAAGTTGGGAGGAGGAAGGTGAAGAGAAATGATGGCTCCGACCTGGGGGTGGCGGCCGTGCTGGGCAGGCCAGGGCAGTGGGCTTCTGCAGGGAGACGGGGGCCCTAGGGGAGCAATGCTGAGACAGAGTGACCCAGCCAGGAAACCCGGGGCCCAGCACGAGGAGAGAGTGAAAGAAAAACTCAATCACATGACTTTTCTCTGCTGATGTGTGAATTCTTGCAACTAGACTCTTTTGGCTCCCAAGATCAAAACACAAAGAAAATGCATGAAGTTGACAGGTTTGGGGAGCTGATGATTATTTCCACAACAACTGGGTTGTCAAATGCACAGGACATTGTGGAAAGCATTACCACCTTTACATACCTGTTTTTTTTGAAGTTCGGAGGTTGTCGAATTCAGAAAAGTCATCTTTAATTGTACCATTCAAATTACTGAAGAGATCAAAGGCCCCTAGGCGACATGAGAGGCCAGTGACCGTGGGCGCACCACGATTGGCTTCTCTGCGCTCTCTGCTTCTGCTTGCCAGTCTACAGCGGCGGCGGGCAGGGCAGCTCCCCGCCTCAGGGGAGAGGGTGGAGAGCCAGAGGGGAGCTGGGAGGGAGCGGGGGAGGGGCCGGGCCAGGGTCTCTGGCCTCCCTGTGCACAGTGTGGGGTGTTCATCTGCCACCGCTCCCATCACCCCCACCCCAAACTGAACAGGGGGCTAATGGTGACACATCTGAGCTGGGTCTAGAAGCTTGACAGGGCCAGTAGGAAGCTACTGGAAGGAGTGCCTGGCGGGCAGCCTGCCCAGGGCCCCCTCTGGAGGGAGGTGCGGGTGCCCAGAGAGCCTGATACCTCACCCCCTACACTGGGCATGTGGCATCCAGGGATCAGGGAGGAGGGCAGCAAGTGCAGGTCCCATGCCAAGGAGCCTAGAGAGGGGAAAGCGCTGGGGCCCAAAGGGGCTCTCGGCCGCTGGGTAGGGTGAGGTCTCACCAGAGGTGGACACAGGCTTGGCAGTGGAGGCTGCAGCCCAGGCGTCGGCTGTTTTCCCAGCACTGGAGGCAGGCTGCTGCGGGGCTGCCCAGGGGTCTGAGCTCTTGGCGATGGAGTGTGTGCTGGTCCCAGTGGGCACTCCCCACGGGTCGACAGAGGCAGCTGGCTTGGCACCTGTAGGAAGGTGGGGTAGAGCTCAGAGATGCCCTCAGAAAGTTCTGGGCATCAGGCATGAGAAGGGAAAAGACAGTGGGCCATGCAAGCCACACTGGGGTCTGGGCCCTGTGTCTGGTGAGGCAGCCACCCAAAGGGTGCTGTCCCACAGCAGCAACGGTAAAGAGAGCTGAAGCCCAGGGCCGACAGCTGTTGGGGGCTTCCACGCTGCGGGGTGTGCTGGGCCAGGACTAGCTGGACAGCCCCAAGAAAGGGAGCAGAGAGGAAACAGCTGAGAAGCCTTCCAATCTCCCCACCACACATGGTCTTGCAAAAGGATCCTTGAGCTCAATTCAAGCCTGCCTCCCACAGGGTCCACAGGCTTCCTCCTCAGACAAGAGCTGTCCCTGGCATTCGCTGCTCAAGCCTCAGGCCCAGGCGGCCTCCTCTCCCCACCAGCTTTGAATGGTTTCTGCTTTTGACAGAAGGGTGAATAAAAGAGATGAGCACAGAATAAAGAGGAAAAATAAAACAAACGTCTATGTACTGACCACCCACTTAAGCAATAACGTTTTCAAACTGTGACTGACAGGTCAATTTAGTAGGTCACAACTGGCTTTTTTGTTTTGAGGATAGAACAGAGAACACCTGAGCAAATCTGACGTAAAGTGTCAATCCTGCTGGGAGATTCTTCTGCTTCAGTTGCATGTAGACACACATGTATTTGTGTGTGTGCAGACACACAAAAGGCTCATGTGCCTCCTTTCTTCTGGGAGAACATCACAACCAGTGTTTGAAAGCCACTTGCTGCCTTTCAGGAACCAGAAAGTGCCTCCTCCAATGGCAGCCCCAGCCCAAACTTCATGAAGTGTGTTAGCCCTTCTCTTGATTTTCTTTCTCAGTTTTTCACGTAGAGTTACCTTTAAACAATACCGTGGTTAGCTGTGCCAAGCGTCTGAACTTTATATAAACGGAAACACACCGTATGTCTTCTTCTGTGACTGGCTTTATCAGCTTATTTGGAAGATTCACCCGTGTCGAGGTGTGGCTGAAAGGTGTTTCTCCTCACTGCTGTGTCACGTCCCACTCCACGGTGGGGTCACAACCGATGAGTCTGTTGCAGGCACTGGTTTGGTTTCGCGTCGCTTTGCTGCTTGCTCTTGCTCACACCCCGGGCGCATGCGTACACATGAGAACTGCAGGTCAGAGCTCCTGCCCCTTCACTGCATGGTACCAGGGACGTCTCCATGTGGTCGTGCCAACTTCCACTCCCACTGGCCATGGACACAGGTCCCAGGCTCCGGGAGGAGCCTCATAACCTCACATGCCATCTCACTTTCTCACGTGTGCCAATCTGGTGGTGTGAAATATTACTTGCCCGTGTTTTGACTGTGTCTCCTTGGTCCTTAAGGAAGCTGTGCATCTTTTCATCTGTGTCCAGGGCCCCTTGAATCCTCTCCTGTAAAGTACCTGCTCCAGTCTTTCCTCTACCTTCCTGTGCAGTTATCTTTTTTTTATTCTTTTGAGAGAGTTCTTTCCATCTTGTGAATACTGATTCTTTTACTTATGTTACAAATATCTTCTCCCAATTTGTGGCCTTTCTTTTCATTCTCTTTGATTACAGCAAAATTCTTAACTTTAATGGAGTAGAACCCATGGGTATTTTCCTTTGTAATTTGTGCTTTTTGTGACATTTACGAAATGCTTCCCTACACTGGGCCCTCAAAGCTATTCTTCTGTGGTAAGGTCTGAAGGATTTAGAGTGTGCCTTTCACATCTCCATATTGGACCCCTTAGTAATGGATTTTTGTTATATGGTATAAAATAAGGGTTCGACCGCACGGTTTCCTGTATGACTGATGAGTCACCCCAGCACTCTCTCCCCCCTGAAGTCGCACAGTGCCTCCTCCATCGGAAGTCAAGTCTGCATGGACTCCTCACTGGGCTCTCCGTTCTGTTCCACTGACCCACTTTATCGGTTTCCATACCTGCACTTTCTTGACAATCCTCACAGATATTATGATGATAAATCTTGATATCTGGCACAGCAAATCTCAACCTTGGTCTTGTTCTTCAGGACTATCTTGGCTATTCCTGGCCCTTTGCTCTTCCATATTCATTTTACAATCACTTTGTTAAGTAAAAAAAAAAATTAAAATTAAAACCTTGGTGAAATTTTCATCAAAATTGCACTGAATCTCAGATCAATTTGAGGAAGGCTGTCATCACTATTAGACCGAGCCTTCCAGAACAAAATCACGGGACATCGCTAAGTCTTCTTTACTATCTTTCAGTGAAATGCAATCTTTTTTACTTTATCCTTTATCTCCATAAGGGATTTATACAACTTCTGTAAAATGTATTTAGGAACTCATCTGTTTTTTTAAAACTCATTTTCTATTTATTGTTATGCAAAAAAGTTTAACTTTGTATACTTACTTTTGTATCCAGTAATCTTGCTAAACTCTTAATTCTAATAATTGAAATTCATCCTAATTACTCTTATAATAATTACAATAACTCAATTCTAATCAAGTGATCTGTGGAAATTTTTGGATATTCTATGTACATGATCACATCACTTGCAAATGATGACAGCTTCGTTCTTGCTAGTCCTTATGCTTGTTCCTCCGTCTTCCTGTCTCAGTGTGCTGGCTGGGACACTGGTCCCGGCACAAAGCAGGAGTGCAGAGTCTTGCTCCTACAGGATCAGCTTTCAACATTTTACCACTAAATGGTACCATTTACCATAACAGGCTTTTTTTCCTTTTAGAAGTCCTTCATCAAGTTATGGAAGTTCCCATTATTCCAAGTCTGCTAAGACTTTTGCAGAGAGCAGCTGATGAATTTTATCAACCTGTTTCTGCCTCTCTTAAGAGGATCACATGATTTTTCTCTTTGGGTCTGTTAATGTGGTCCATTAATACAAAATGACTTGGTCCTTGCGAACAAAGTGTTTCAGGGTGTACTGTATCATTTTCATATTTTTCTCATTTTGGTTTTGCAATTGTTTCTTTGCTTAGGATTTTTGCGTCTATATTCCTAAATGGGACTGGCCTGATGTGTCTGTTCTCACACTGTGCATCGCTGTCTGGTCCTGGTGTTAAGGTTATACGACCCTCATAAAATGAGGAAGAATACTCCCTACTTTCCTATCCTCTAAAGGAGTTTGTATAAAAGTAGAACTGTTTCTTGAAAGGTGAAAACACTTGCCAGTAAATTCTGGGTGCGTGTGGGGGCGGGGGTTTTCTAAGTAAGTGACTCAGTTTCTTTAGAATTCTTTAGTAATCGACTCGGCCCTCAGATTCTAGGACTATCCCTATTTCTAAGTCTTCCCTTGTTCTTCAGTCAGCTTTGCTAAGTTTTCCTTTTTGAATTTACCCGTTTGATCTAAGTTTCCAGGTCTGCAAGCACAGAGTAGACCAACAGCCTCTTCCTCCCCACTGAACCTCGGCAGCATCTGCAGTTACATCCTTGGTGTCACTCCCAAGAGTGGGTGCCTTTCCTCTTGATTTTCTGAAATTAATCTTGCCAGAGATTTGTCTAGTTTATTACTTTTCATTCACCAACTCTGTCTTTGTGGGTATTATTTGTGTTCTAATTCATTAATTCCTGTTCTTATCCGTATTATTTCATTCCTTCTACTTTATTTGGGTATAATACTATTCTAACCTCTAACATTACCTCGTTAATCTCGTGCCTTTCTTCTTGACTTCTTGACTTCTGTAAACATTTAAAGCTACAAATTTCCCCTTACTATTGCTTCCATTAACCCACAAATTCTGATATGAAAATATTTACATTATTTGGTTCTAAATAGTTCTGATTTTCATTATAATTTCTTCCTTGACTCAAGAATTCTGTTTTTAAAATATCAAGTGTATAAAGTTTTTCTAGTTATCTTTTTGTTACTGACTTTCAACTTGAGTGAATTGTGGTCAGAAAATATGTTCTATGTGACCCCAATTTTCTGAGATTTGTGGAGGCTAGCTAGCTTTTTTGCCTAGCACGTGATCTTTTTTTGTAGGTATTCTGTACGTCATTGAAAAGAATGTGTATTCTCCAATTGCTGGGAACAACAAACTCACAGGCTTACGAATTAAGCTGCTCAAATTTTCTTATGTTCTTATTACTTTTAAAATATCCCCCACATCAGTTCCTACTTCTGATACTCTTCGTTCCTCCCCCAGGAACTCCCTCAGTGTTTCATGTGGAGCAGATGTGCTGGCCACAGATTCTCTTAGTTTTCTGTTCCCTGGAAATGTTATTATTTCACCTTTATTCTTGAAGAATACCTTCACTGAACACAGAATTCTGGAGGGTGACAGTTTTTTTTGTTGTTTCAAAACTTAAAGTATTTTTATTTCACCATCATTCTTGGAAGAAAGATGATTTCGCTAGCAATGGGAACCTGGAGTGACCAATTGTCTTCCTTTCCGTGCACTGTCCTCTGGCATCTGCCGTCACTGTTGAGAAGCGAGCTGCCAGTCTGACTGCTGTTCCTTTGTCCCACATGTCTGGTCCCTATGGGTTTAGGATGTTCTCTCTCTTCGGCGTCCCGCAGTTTCCTGACGACGTGTCTAAGTGGGCATTTCTTTTATTATCCTGCTGTGATTCACAAGGTTTCCTGGATCTGAGAAGTAGCACCTTGCCATAATTCTGGAAAACCCTCAGTCATTATTTTTTCAAATATTAACTTTTCTAGAACTCCAAAAAGATGTGTTAGATGTCCTGATTCTGCCTCCATGCTTCCCCAGCTACAATGACTTCCCCATGGCTCTCCAAACACATCCAAAGGCCCACCACCTGCCACCTCTGGGTCCCGCCTTCACGTCCCTCCATCTTTTCCCTTCTCTTCTTGCCTACCTGACCCCTCTGGAAGCCTCCACCTGGCTTTCTTTTAGAGCACTTCTCATACAGCACCATAACTACTCATTTGCGTAAGAGTCTCCCCTGGACTGTGAACTCCCTCCGGGCGAGGGCTATCTCCTTCCCCTGCACCAGGCATGAGGGCAGCAGGAGGGGTGGTAAGCGCCGATCTTAGAGAAGACGGGAGAATGGTCCCCTGAGCCTCTGAGGACGCACCTCCCCGGGCCCCCTCCCATGCACGCCCCTCCTTCACAGCCCCTGCAGCAGCGTGCAGGTGTGGACGTGTCAGTAGGAAGTTCCTTGGCTTTCAGAAAGACAAACCTTCTGCTAGGCGTTCTACCGTGCTGCCATCATCCTTTCTAGGCTCTGAAATGCTGGCTGGCCTCAGAGTGGCCTATCAAGCCTGTCCCAGCTACTGCCTTGACTGCCTTCTAACTTTCGGCAGGGTTAGCTGACAGTGAGCAGGGAGCGGCCCGGGCAAGAGGAGGAAGAGAGTGCTGCTCTCGCTCCTTGGCCTTTGCTCTGCCTCCAACACAGCACCTCACAGGGCCTCAGTTCTGCATCTCAACCGAAGGGAAGTAACGTGGTGGAAACAGTGTGTCAGGGAGAATGCTGCACAGCAAGTCAGAAGAGCTGGGACACATCTTCACAGCTGCCGTGATGCAATGGAGGACACGGGATTTGGTCTACAGGAAGACCTAGGACAGCTGCCAGGTTGTTTTTGGCACCCTAAGGAACCATGAGGAAGTTAACACACTTTCCTCAACTTCTCCTTGCTTACCAGTAACTGTGAGAACCGAACAAGCTCACGTCAGGAGACCCATGCTGCACGGTCCACGTCCCCCTAGCCTGTCTGTGCGTGGAGGACATGGCCGGTGGAGTCTCGTATCCCTTGCACCCCTGACCACGCTGGGTACCTTCCCCGCTTCCAGATGAGCACTACTGTCCTTTCCTTCTTGCCATCAAGAGATACTCCCTGGTGACTTTCCAGCATCCATCCCGCCTTTTTTCCTGTAGGATACTCTGATTTTCCTTGGCACGCTGTCCCCTCACCCACTCCCAGTCCCAGTCTGAGTGGGACGGACCCTGCCCTGGCAACAGGGGAGTGTTTTCGCCAGCTAAAGTCAATCTGCACAGTCACCTCCAGCCCCCACCCCCCGCCCCCAGATCCCAGAATGGTATAGGAGCCACAGAGGAACTCTCCTTATCCAGACTGGGAACATGAGTTGGGCACCCAAGGCAGCAGGACCTTGAGACTGAGGCTGGAGGGGACAGGGGAAGACATACTGGGTGGGCAGCACAAAGAGGATCTGGGTCTTGGTGATAATCTCTGAGCCACGGCATCAGCTGGCCTCAAGGCAGAGCCACCTGTCTCTACTAAAGCTGTTCGCAACACAGCATTCTGACCAGACTACCTCCCCAACATGTCCCAGGGCGGGAGCGGGCATTATGCTGGGAAGGCACAGTCCCCACCCTGCAGCCTCCATGTCATCTCATCACACAGCCACCCACACTCTAAACCCAGCCCAGAGTCCCTCACAAGGCACTCATCCCCTGCTCTTGCTCATGTGAGAATCTGTCTCCCCAGGTGGACCACGTGCTCCATGGGAGCAGGGGCTGGGTCTGCTTTGCCCACGCTGTTCCCCCTGAGCTCAGATCTGAGCCTGACACACAGAAGGCGCTTGATAACTAATTGGGGACTGAAGGGAAACAACAAAGGGAACCACAGAGCCTCAGGACTAGAAGGGGCTTTGTGGTTAATCTACTCTAACTCCCTCCAGTGAAGAAGCATTTTTGAATTTGAACACTGGGGTTCAGTGATCACTTCTTCTAGAAGGTTCTGGGTAAATGTCTGATTCAGATGCTAGAAACACATATAGCTAAGAGCTGCCCCTAATCTCTAACACTCTACCCAGAGTTTTCGAACATCTTAGATTCAGTGGGACTTTCCTCACGACGCAGCTCATGGGGCACCAGACCAGTGGTTCTCAACTGTGGGTGTCTTTGGGAATCTCTTGGGGGATGTAAGTAAATTACTGACACTGTCCTGTCCTCCCCACAACACACACAGATTCTGGGGAGGACCTGGGCATTTGGGTTTTTAGAACCTCCCCAAGTGACCAGAATGGGCAGCCAGGATGCATGAGAGCCCCTGAGCTCCTGGAGCACTTGGGCCCCTGGCCAAGCCTCCTCAGAAGTGAGGGCCCACCATCTAATGGCCCACATCGGACACACTGGCCTGAATGGATGGACACCTGGGGGGACAAGCCCTGCCTCCCACAGACAGATGGTCCTTGGAGTCACCTTACTCTATCTGAGCAATATTTGGTCAACATTCACCAGGCCTAGGTCCTGCCTCTGAGAGAGAAACACAGACATAAGCAACTGCAGCCAGCAAGGGGGTCATGGGCAGCCAGTGACCATGGGATGGGGTGAGGTGGTCCTGAAGACAGGGTGATTACATCTCCCCAAGCATGGACATGTGAACCATGTTTTCAAGAATAAACAGGAGTTTGCCAGGCAGACGACAGGACACAATATTAAGTCAGGATCAGGCATTAAAGGGAATCTAAGCTGCCCTGCCAAGCAAAGATGAGTTTTGGCACTCTTTTCAGCCACCCCACCAGCCCTAGCCTTAGGCATTGTCCTCCTGACCTCACATGGGCAAGCCCCTCAGTGACCACACACACATAGGTGTGCAAAAATAGGATTTACTTCTCTATCTGGACCACCTCTCAGGCCATGAGGGTCTAAACACACCAGTTTTCCCCAAAACTGATATAGCTAAGGGTTGCAACAAAGTATTACAACATTTCTGGAAGACCTCTGTCTACATGAACGCTCTGCAATATGAAGCTGCATGCACTGCATGCATTCTAATGCTTTCTCCACAAGCTGGTGTCATGCTGAGCCCCACCATCTGGGGCTCTGAGGCAAGGCTTCCACTCAGAGCGCCCCACGGCTATGCAGCTCCACCCTGAAATTGTTTGAGAGCCTCTTCTGACACCTCCAGTTATCTCCCATGGGCCCTGCTCCCCTTTAGGATCTGTGAAACAAAAAAAATAGCAGCGTGGTCAAGGACTTTACAGATCAGCAACCTCTATGATGTACGATGTTGAAATCAACAAGCCCTGGCCCGGAAGGAACCCCCTGCTCCTATACCACCATGCACATGGACAAAGTTGGGCACAGATGGGAGAGCTCTGGATGTGGAGTGAAAGATGTGCTCAGTTCAAAACCTGGCCACCCCAAATCAGCCGGATGACCATGAATAAGCTCCTTAGCCTCAGTGAGCTTTGATGCGTTTCCATTCTGTAAGTGGTGGTTGGGGACCTACGTGCACACAGGACACTGTGCCAACTTTCTCCTCCACTGTGCACCGGGAGTCACTAGAGGCTACACACTGTGGCACCTGTCTTCAAACCAAACCTGGGGACAGTTAATGTTCCCTCCGCCTTCCCACGGGTGCCGACGGCCCACATAAGCTAGCCCGTGGGAAAGCAAGCAAAAAGTCAGGCACAGCAGGCCCCCACTGAACGCCCGCTCACAGCACGGCTGCTGGGGCCCGGCACTCCGTCCTCCTCCTCCTTCATGAATGGACAGTAGATTCACTGCAAGGCTCCTCTGTACTCTGGCCTCCACGTCCTCGGCAAGGCCCAGGCCTTGCCACACACCCAATAAATAAGTGCTTGTTGAAAGCCCGAGTGAATGACAGGAAAGGAGGACGGAACCAAGGGCGGAAAGATCAAGCAGGTTCCGGCCTCCTCCTCTGTGGGCCCATTCATAGGGAGCATGCGTCCCTTTGCCTCTCACTTGCCAGCCTGGCTCATCCCAAGCCTCATGTATGAATATTCATGTGACGAAGGCAGTCACATCGTGGGGTCACGGAACTGAGCCATCATGGGGGTCATCAAGAAACCAGCAGCACCACCTGCTGCCGCCAGGGCAGAAGACAGCCTCTGTCCGGGCCTGCGCAGTGGGTGGGGGCAGAGAGAGGGGCCAGCCAAGGCCTTCTGAATCACCAGACTGTGAGCCCTCCTCATGCCAGGTGGCTGCTTTGTGTGTCTGGAACAGAGGAGGAAGTGCCCCGCTGACCTGGCAGGCTCTAATTTCCCTCCTCTCAGCCCTTAGCGTTTCCTCCAAAGGACACTTGTCCAAGCTACCCCCAGTGCTGCTCGGAAAGAAGTGGTAATGGCAGGGCTCACTACAAACAGTGACTTTCAAAACAGTGTTTCTTTCATCCAGAGGGTGCAACTAACAGAGCTTGGGAAGAGACTCTAATCTTCCCAATTTATGAACGTGTTTTGGGACGGTGGGGTGGCCCTGAAAAGGCACATTATCGGATTTTACTAGGACTAATCCATTGTGCTCTGGAGCTCTGTCTTGGAAAACGGAAGCAAAGGGACTGTCACCACGCTCCAGTGAATTCGGGAGCTCGGGTCAGGCCGTCTCCTGCAGAGCTACTGAAAGCAGAGTGCTAAGAACTGCAAAACCACTACGTGGATAACAACGGGCTGCTGGGTTACGGCAGACAGCCCTGGGCCGTCCTGCTGGAGCCATGTTGTTTAGAGTTTCTAATGATGCCGGAAATGCTCATCATATAGTATAAACTGAAATATCTATCTATATTTATAAGATTGTATATACAATATGACCTCGACTACGTAAAAACACAAGTGCCCAGAAAAAACAGGAAGCAGATAAGCTAACATTTCAACACTGGTTCTCTCTCGATGCTGGAATTTGAGGTGACTTTTCCAGGACATGCTCACCACACAGGACTTTGTTTTCCAGGATGGCTTGGTGATTCCAGGACGAAGTGGCTGCCCCTAACTTGCTGTGTGACACCAGAGGAACTCTCTGGGCTTTGGCAGCCTGTTTTTCTCCCCAAGTTACTGGTAAAAATGCCCAGTGCATCAGAACCAAGGAGAGGGCCCTAGCCTGGGCAGGTAGCAAGAGACTGCAAGTTGGTGTCCACAAACCACATGTGGCCACCTGCAGGTCTATTTTGATTAGCCCCAACCATGTTTTTAATTTTTAAAATTCATTGTCAACATTTAAAAAGTAATAGTTTCAAAAATTTATGTTTCAATCTTCTCTTAAAAAAATTGGATTCACGGGGCCAGCCCAGTGGCGCAGCGAAGTTCGCACACTCTGCTTCGGCAGCCTGGGGTTCACTGGTTCAGATCCCGGGTGCGGACCTATGCACTGCTTATTAAGCCATGCAGTGGCAGGCGTCTCACATATAAAACAGACGAAGATGGGCACGAATGTTAGCTCAGGGCCAACCTTCCTCAGCAAAAAGAGGACTGGCAGCAGATGTTAGCTCAGAGCTAATCTTCCTTAAAGAAAAAAGAAATTGGATTCACAACAGCCAAAAAGTAGAAACAACCGAAATGTCCATCAGCTGCTAAACAGTTAAACAAAATGTGGTGTAGCTATAAAATGGAATATTATTCAGCCATAAAGAGGAACGAGGTAGGGATACACACTACCACATGGATGAACTTTGAAAACATTATGCTAGTAAAAAAAAAAAAAAAGCAGTCACAAAGACCATATGTGATATGATTCCATGGTATATAGGAAACATCCACAGTAGGCAAATCCAGAGATAGAAAACAGACTGGTGGTTGCCAGGGGCTGAGGGGAGGGGCAACGGAGAGTGATGGCTTAATGCGAATGGGGTTTCTTTCTGGGGTGATGAAACATCCTAGAATTAGCAGAGATGGTTGCACAACATCATAAATGGCTAAGAACCACTGAACTGTCCACTTTAAAATGGTTAAGATGGTGAATTTTGTTACGTGAATTTTATCTCGATTAAAAAAAATGGGAATAGCAGAGCCATGTGGGCAATGCTCAGCTGCTACGGGGAACCCATAGCCTGTCCCCAGCTGTGCCCTGGCCTCTGGCCAGCTCCTGGCTTACGGTGCCTGCAGGTGTGTGAGAAACCCAATCGCTGGAGGTGGTGCTGCCCCACCCACCAGAAGACTCCCAGCTTCCCGGTGAGGTTGGGCTCCTGGCTCAATCAAGACACGCAGCTCCAGGGCGCAGCCTTGTCCACCAGCAAAGGAAGAAGGGGGCAAACCGTTGTTCATTGAGAATATATATATTTTGTCTCTTCTGACCAAGTAATACTCACCCCTGGTGAGTAAGTCAAACAGTAAAAAAAAGGCAGACAGGGAAAAGTCTGTCTTCCCCCGACCACCGCCCAGGCCGCAAGGCCCTCCCCAGTATCAACCACTGACCCAGCATAATGCAATCCTGAGAAACTTACCCAGCTCCTAGTGTGACCGTTTTCCTCTCTGGGCACTAGAAAACCACCCGTCTGTTTAATGATCCATTAGCCAAATCTGAAAGGGACTGACAGTCTTTCCTAAGGAACATCCTATCCATAACTGAAGGTGGCCGTCTCTTTACGCAAGAACTGCTATTTAGATTTAAAAATACAGTCAAAGCCACCGTCTGGAAGGCCTGTCCTCTCCTCGGGCAGCACCATGTGGGCGTTTCCAGAAGATCTGCCTTGCTGTCCCCACACGTGCTCAGCAAGACTTTACCCCACAGGCTCCCTGGGGGCACAGCACACAGGCCATGGACCATGTGGACCAACCTTCTGGCAGCCCTGGTGCTGGCCTTCAGTGAGCGAGAACTATGGACCATTTGGCCTTGGGTTTGTCCCAAGGCCCAGAGGGCTCCTGCCAAAGGGTGCGTGGGGCTCTGCCTGGGTCCCCGAGGCCAACAGCATTGCCAAAGGACATATGGGGCCTACACTGAGCTCTAGATAAGGCTGCCAGGCCCTGAGGGACCAGGCCTCTCCTCCTCCCACCCCACACTGTCCTCTCCCCTACCCCATTCACCTGCTGTCTATTTCACCAGGAGGTGCTTGTATCTGTACCCGCTACAGCACTGCATGCCCTCATGCCTCTCACCACACCCTTGCCTCTTGGTGGCCTGTCCACTCCTCCTCCTTGAAGATTCCTCCAAGATGCCTGCCTCACGTGCTCTGGACTCCTGGGCTAATCCCCGCCCCAGGATACTCTCAAACAGCCAACAATGAGGCCCCCAGAGCGCCGCTATCATACTGGTGTTCCCGTCTTGCCTACACCTGCCCAGGACCTTGAGGGCAGGACCATCACCTGTTTGTGTCTGGGTCCCTGCATGGCAGGACAGAGCCCGGTATTTGGTACATTTTGGTAAACATCCAGGGAACTGAGCTGAATACAAAAGATGGTTCCAGTCTGGGGAAACAGAGACCCCAAGAGACACAGGCAAGTTGCCACAAAATATACAATTCAAAGTTCCTAGACAGAAAGCCCACTGACCAGCCATGGGTGGCAGAGTTCAGAGAACCCAAAGGGAGCCTCCTAGAGTAGCAGGCTGGGTAGGAAGCCATCACGAGCCTGCAGGCCAAGCCCTGTGTCCAGCAGTCAGGAAACCCATGTGACCAAGACCTCCATCCAGATTAAACTGATTGTGCCACACTCAATATTTCAAATCTCCTATCACAAATTCTCTTACATTTGGCATCAAACATTAGGACTTTAAAATATTCATTTAGCCTAGTAAACTGATTTACTATTGCTTTAAATAACAAGAAGAATTATAGCAAATGTATCCCCTTTTCATTAGCAGTCCAGTTGAGCACATCATAATTTCCAGCTAATTACAGCAACCTGATTTAGATGTTTCATGCTGTATACCATAGCTTCACAATCTAGGGTCCTGGGTGCAATTCTGAGGCTGAGGGAGTTGACATGTGTCCCAGAGAAGGGACAAGCCATTTCTGATGCACATGGGAAGCAGCGAGGAAGTCAGCTCTCCCTCTACCAAAGCAGAAAATCATTCCAAATGGAAAGGAAGAGAGTGCTGCACCACAGTCCTCAGGAGGAGGGCAGCAGCCTGCTGGACATTATCGTTGGGGTCTGCAGAAGCCTGGACACCCACCGCCATGGACCAGGTGAGCGAGAGCAAGGGCTCTGCCGTTCTCCCTCACCCATCCAGCAGGCAAGCACGGGAGGCGAATGAGGGGGCTTCTTTACCGTATGATGGCCAGGGGTCCGATGTGCTGGCTGGGGCCACTGGCCCGCCCCAGGGGTTGGGCTGTTTAGCTGAAGCTGATGGGCCCCAGGGCTCTGCTTTCGGGGCAGCAGGGCCTGAGCTGGGAAGGGCATCCATTAGATCCAATAGCGTGGTCTGTTGTGGGTGGGAGCCGTGCTTTTGAGACAAAGAGAAGGGGACAGGTTTTACTTTGCTACAGTTACAGCAAATATCCATGCCATTAGCCATAAATATTGCCCGTACCTCCTTACTAGAGTAGAGGCCTTCTGGGAGGGGCCAACAAGGACCTTGAAAATTGAGCTGCCCCCCATCTCCTGTCCCATCCTGCCCACTCTCCTGCATCAGGACTTCCCAAAACAGCCTAGGCTCCAGCCACGTCAGAGCTATTTACTATGTGCCAAACGCCCCACCCACTTTCAAATGGTCCTCAGGGCTTACCAGGATAACACTGGCTTTAGCCTGGGCTATGGCCTCCAGCCAGGAGGCTGTCTTTCCCCATCTTACTCCCCCAGCCATCATCCAGGGACCTCTCTCCTAGGCGCCCTATACCCTTCCCCTCCCATGGCCACCACAGAGCCACAGCCCTGTAGTGTTGAGGGAGGTCTGTCTCCTGACAGGATGATGAGCCTGTCAGGAGCAGAACCACATCCTGGTCACCTTTGGGTCGCAAGCAGGGAGCCTGGCATAGAGTAAGGATGATGATGGCGATGAAGACCAGTACTAGGGAGAGCTTACCCTCTGCCAGGAAATTGTTCCAAAGCACTTGACACTTTGCTTAGGTAACAATCGCCACAACTGCATAAGGTGCCCTCTGTTATTCTGCTCATTTTACGGAGGAGGGAACTGAGGCACTAGTCAGTGGAGGGAATGAGAACCCAGGCAACTGGGCCCCTCGCTTGTGCCCATCTTCTAGGGTGCCCTCGGGAGAGGAGAGGAACAGCAGAGGTAGATGAGTTTTCAGTTAAGTCCCCAACTCACTCTTGCTCATCACAGGCCTGAGGATTATTTGTTGAGTGAAGAGAGAAAACAGCACCTCTAACTCACCATAGGTCACCCGTGAGCTGTGGGTTCCATCTGGGACACTGCAGCCACAGCTACAGGGCAGTCTCACACGCTGACCTTCCCAGTAAAGTGCTTACCTCTTTCTTTTTTGGAACTTTAACTGTGTCTCTTCGGCTTTCTTCTAGGGCCATCTGTAATCTGAGGTCATCACCCCGCCTGAGGCGTTCTTCCTGTAGAGGACAATGTAACTTGAAGTTGGTGGTGACTGTTAACAACATCACTACAGAACAAAGCGGTATGGCCAGGAGCAGGAAATGCAAAATTGTATTATGCATTATTTCAAAGGAGGATTTGAAAACAACTTGTAAAACAGTTACTTTTCTATTCTGAATGTGTAGCCCAGAGCGCTCCTCCCTGAGTTTCTCTTCCCTGAGTTTCGGGGTCCCAGCAGGGAGAGTGGGGCGTAGGCAGCACCAAATTGGAGAAAGGGAATACTTATTCCAAAACGGTTTTTTCCTCAAAATTAAAATGGCTTTATAATTCTTTCTAATTACAGAAGATGTCTCCTTATAAACTACAAAAATCTGACAACTCAGAAAGGAATTATAAAGAAGATGAAAATCAGCTATTGTTCCACCTCTCATTGTTCCAGAAAATGACTGTATATTTATTTCTATGATTTCTAACAAGTGATTCATTACATTTAATTTATATTTATTTAAGGCAAAGTCACTATAGGCAAAAGACTAGGTCACCCTAGCTATTATATAATGATTAAATATAAATAAATACAGTCATTATATTTTAATCATTATAAATACAATAAGCCATAGAGATGTTATTAACGAAAATGGGCTCAGACTGTCTGTCCCTGTATTTCTGCACCTTCTTCCTGGGCGGTTGATAACAGAGCCAGGCAAGCACGGGGACAGATATGATGGCTGTGTATTTCCTGCTGCAGACAGAGGGGCCATACTGAAGCTGTCCACTGCTGTGAAGCTTCAGGATATTTCCGGTTACAGCGAAAACATATCATGCTGAGACAAACATCTTTGCACTTCCATCGAACTATCCCTAATATTTGTCTCTAACACCACACGACATCTGGCTCCTTCTTCCCCTTTTTAACCACAGGTCAGCAGAGACAGACCTGATAATTGCGACCAAAGGGCTTACGATTTTGAAAGGTCATTTTAACCATTCCTTTCCCTCCTTCTCTATTTTCAAGTAATGCATGCTGATTAAAGAAAACAGGAACTGAGAAAACAATTAAAACTACACACATGTATGTCATCTGACTATAAGCACTCTTATTTCCTGGGGCATTTCTTTCTAGCCTTCTTTTCCTTCAATGTTCAGATGCTCTTGGTCCATCTTACCAAACTGCCCTCCAAAGGGGCTAAGCCTGATCTGTGCCCACACGCCCTGGGTAAGGAGGCTGTGCACGTGCAGCTCCTGCAAACACACAGCCCACAACCTGGTCCTGTCTGCAGACGTGTTTCTGGGAAGCACTTCTGATTGGTTCGTCCCTTGGCAACAACTTCCCTTGAAACCCTTTCCTAAATGTAACTTTGCAAAGGACCCCTCCCTGACTGGGGGCAGTAGGAGGGAGACAAGCACTTGTGGCAACACGAAGTCCCATCTCAGTCACTTGGAGGCAGGCTCGCCTGGCACCGACCTGCTCAGCCACCTCTCTGCTCATGGCGAGCGCCAGCTGCAGCTGCAGTTCCTCCTCGCCGCTGGTCTGGGGCCTGGCCTGCTCCAGCTCGGAGGACACCCGTGGAGAAGTGGCTGTAGGGGGAAGGCAGAGTCACCATATGCAAAGGACAGGCTCATGCTCAGTAGTTACATGGTCAGATCAAACCCCATTCCCATCTCACACTCACAGGTCTGGTAACAGGCCACGGCTTACGAATATTTCAAGGTTAAAATCAAGTAACCTCAAATGTGATTTCACAACTACATAAGCCACATGGCACAGACCAAGAAGATGCCTTTGGGTGCAAGCCCAGGGGTCAGGCCTCCGGGGAATTAGAACCTCAGTCTTCACCACAGAGCTGCACTGCTTCGAAGAGGGGAACAATTTCAAAGATCAGGAGGATAGTTCTTGCAAAGCTGCATCAAAGAACATCATTCAAACAAGCGCAGGGCCCCTGAGGACCGAGAACCCTACTCGAGATTTCCCCAACACTTAAGAATCTCACTTTACATCTTGTAGTGATAAGGATCATGGAAAATGAAGCCCAAACATGTCTGCAGTAACCCTCAAAATTTTTGTTTTTTAAATAAAATTCTACACTGACTTGAAAAAAAAAAACACAAATGCGGATATTTTTTGTTTTAAGTACGTACTACTTTAAACACTTGTCAGCAGCTCCTGGAAAGGCAGTTTTTATTGAAGGGGTGTGATGTGAATTCCAGTTGATCTAACCAACCCCCGGGAGAGAGGCCTCGGCACATTCACGCTGTCAGGCAGGCTGGGCCTCCCAAGTGAAACGTGCTGGGCCGACAGTCATCAGGATGTTTTGCGCATTAGGGAGGTCTCGGTGCCTCCAGAAATTAGACATAAAGCTTTGGGAGCTTGTCCCTGATTGTGTGCCCACCTCTGCCCCCACCCCAGGAGAGAGTCCAGAGCTTCTCTGAAACCACCGGCTTGGCTTAGGCGACTGCAAGCTCTATCCTCCCTCTGGGTGTTTGCGCTGCTGCTCCCTCAGTCCGCCCAGCCGCTCCGCAGTTCTCGGAGCTCAGCTTCCCCTTCCGACCTCCAGGACTGCCCTCCCCACCGCGGCTGGGTCAGCACGCCGCCACATTCTGCAGTTTGGTAGGTCATGCCAGAGTGAGGCTCTGTCGGGGAGGACCCAGGCCTGTCTTCTCATTACATCCATCCCCAAAGTCTGGCAGAGCAGTTAGCAAATACCCATTGGACGGATGCATGAACAGATGGATGGAGAGACAGACAGACAGATGGAGAATTCAATTTCATGGCTGATGAGTAGTCGTTTGAAAATGCTCTAATTGTGTATTAGTTTACTTCCTTCTTTCATTATATCCATTCTAGCAGACCCAGTTATCAGGACTCACTCACCAAATGCTGCTTCTGCCTAAGTCTCCAATCTAAACTCGCCCCTCAGGGTCTGCCTCTTTGGGAGAAAGTAAAAGGGTAGGGATGATTCCTGACCGATGAGGTTTCCAGGTGGCTGGGCTCTGGCTAAAGTGAGTAAAACAGGAGAAGAGGGCTAGGTGCCGTTGGGGTCGGGGAGGTAATCCACAGAAGGACCCAGCGAGGCTGCAGGGGCTGCTCTGGACAAAGGCTGGGGCGATGCAGGGCAGGAGACTGCAAATGGCACTACTCTGTCACACACTGAAAAGAAAACACACAGAGGAGAGCAGAGAGAGTTCATCTGGAACAGCTCTGTGCGGGAAGCACGGTGTGTCTGCCGTGATTTATTGTCAACGAAAAGAACCATCCAAAAAAAAACGCAAAAAAGCCAGCAACCAATTGCTTCATGTCTATTTGAAGCTACATTAACAGGTCAAAGAGCAAAAAAAATGCTGCCGTTATAAAAAACACAAATATATTTTTCTAAATAAAATCAAGTTGAATTTCAGCCTAGTATATGACTTCCAATTATATTTTCCAAAGTGTTTCTTTAGGAAAAAAGATAGATGGTAACAAAATGTTCTCAAATCCATCTTAATAATTTGATTTCTTAATAATATACCAAAACAAAAGTATATTTTTTGTTGGTTTTGATTCCAAATTTGACCTATGCCAATCACGGTGTTTAAGTTTGGGCTTTCTTGTGCTCTAGAAGCAAAGACGTCACCATCCAGATTGGTGGAAACAAAGGAAGCCAGACAGTTCTGGGGGACAGTTCTGGAGGATGGTTCTGCAGGAATCTCCTCAACTAAATGTGGCTCTCCCATCCAGATCATTAACCACCCAGGCCACCGGTTTCCAGCCTCTTTCCTGATCCAAATTTTCTGAGGTTTGCTTCACAAAACCCTCAGTTTATAACAAATACAATATATCCGACATCCTTCATTTACTACCAAATGGAAATCATGAGTGAATAAAGGAGAAAACCTCATACCCCACCCTACACCCCATAAAGTGCTCTGAAAAATGAGCCCCAACTTGGCACAGAAAGCTGCTACTTGGCTGCACTGTCACAGGGCCTGATTCAGCCAGACCAGGGATGAATGGGACGGGGCTCCGAACAGGGACCTTCTGGAGAGATGAGGCCTCCCTTGTCCTCCAAGCCTTTCAGCACATCTGCAAGGCCAGACGGGCTTCAAATGCAAATGGACATGTTTATGTCTACCATAACCGATGCTGTTAGAATAATGCACAGCCGGCACATACGGAAATAGCTTACCACATCAATGTGGAAATTAAAGACAAAGGGTATTCCCCTAGATGCTGTGGTTTTTATAAAACGGATGTACAGCTCTCAGTTCCGCAGATGGCAGAACTCACAGCCACCAGCCCTGAATATCAGCTGAGCCGCACAGCAGTCTCAGCTGCGAGGGAGGATTCCAGCGGCGATGTTCTTTACTTACTAACAACATTTTGGTCCCACAAAGGACCTCTTGTGCCCGTGCACATGACAGTGAACACAGATGTGGTTGTGAGACAGGCCTGAATGGACCCTTCTGACCACCTGAGCCTGGCCCTGGCCCTGCTCTGAGGATCTGAAGGTCCACAATCACAGGGACCCATGGAAAAAGCAAGTGCCCAAGAGAGTGCCCACTCTCAGGGCAGCCGGCTGCTGGCTTACCAGCCACCCTGTGGAAGGAACAGCAGCAATTCTCAGCATAAGCTAATCACCAAAGGAGCGTCGAGTGCATCATCGTCCTTGTCCTACTGCTGCGCTGTCCTTTTGCGTCCGGATCCTACCTGGAAGAGCTCAAAGTCTTCACTTGCGGTGGCCAAAATGATGCTCCTGAGTAGGCCTCATTCTTATCTTTCCTGGTCTGTTACCCTGGCTGAGAAAGCCTGAGGGGAGAGGTTGAACAGGGAGCCTATAAAAGCCCAACGCTTCCCTCAGAATACAGCCTCAGAGGAAGACCAAGCAACACCTCCCAGTGCAGGAGGACAAGGGCCTCCCACATTCACTCCACTCTGCCTGCTCCAGGCACAGCCAGGCCGAGCCTGCGTGCCTGCACCCTGGGCTGCAGGAAGGACCCTGCTTCCCAAACGTACTCCTAAACAAAGGCCAAAAGATTTTCTAACAAAGACGCTTCGGCTGGCCAATCTTGGGTAATTCTGAAAGAAGAAAGCGAAGCAGTCAAGGTAACAGAAAAACAGGAAATCACTTCTTCTCATCTGCTATGTTTTACCATTTTCCTAGAAAGTACTTAAGCAGCGTCTGCAATCACATACATTGATTAAAGGGAACAGACACTGTGGGACACGACTTTACCAGCAAACGGTTGTGCACAATGACCAGCATGACTTCTGGTGAAGCTTCAGGTACATGAGCCTTGCAGAGGGTGAGGCCTTGTCTCCACATGTCCCTGGCTGATGCTGGGCACACAAGGGACATCTGACAACTTGGCAAGAATGCAAGGTCGTCAGGCTCAGGGGCCTGTGAAGACCCTATCTGGTCTAGCATTGTTGCCACCACTTATAACCCTGTGCCCGTCAGCTGACAAGCAGACCAGGGTTCAAATCCTGTCCCCACCAGTTACTAGCAGTGAGACCACACACAAATGGCCTGACCTCTCTGGGCCTTTGCTTCCACATCTATGAAATGGAGACCAATGGGGCTTGTGGGAGGACTCAGGAGTGTCCAAGACACAGTTGGCTTTCCCTGGAGGATGTGCCTTGCCCAGGTCATTGCTCTCTGCTCCATCCCATAACCACCAGATCACCTGGGGGCTGGAGTTCCATCCAGCACTCCCACTCTCCACCTCGCACAGCAGAAGCCACAAATGTGTATCCTGGGGGACCCTGGCCCTTCCCAGGCCTTCCGGGAGAAGCACTGGGGCTCCAGCGCAGCTGTGCTCCTCCAAGGTAGGGGCTGGGGAGCCAACACCGAGCCCAGGGCCAGCTTCCACCTGCCAGTGACCAGTTCCCCAGTCCAGCTAAGTTCCTTCCTCATTAGTGAACTGCAATCAAGGGCTTACTGGGTCTTCCTCAACATGGCGACATCTTCCTGTGGTTCCACGGGTCATTTCCTGAGTCAGTGATGACTCTCAGCCACTGAGGACACTCCCTCCCACTAGCCTGGCCTGAGCTGAGCTTTCTAAATCCGTTCCCCACGGAAGACCCTCCAGGGCCCTCACATACTACCTCATAGGGAGGAACAGGAAAGACAGCTTTTACTTGAACAGGGCAAATAAGAAAATAAGCTCAGATTACCACAGCTAACATTAAAAGAGAAAAAGATATAAATACATGGCGGGAAAGCCAAAAAGGTACAAGATGGGAAGTGCACCAAAGCACCACCACAGCCAGATCACTTTCAGGCTGTGAGGGGGGATGTGACTTCACAACAGAGGGACAAACCGTAGGCACCTGGTGCTATGGCCAATTCTTGGCCATCACGTGATGTCACTCCACCACCCATGACAGTCCTGGCAGAACCTCGGACTTGATTCCAATCCAGACTCTTTGATTCCCAGTTCACAGACGTACAGGGCGAGGACTGAGCCGAACACTGCGTGAGGCAGTGGATGGACAAACCCCAGCCAAGGGATGCTCTGCAGGGCAACTGGCCCGGCCTCTTAGTACCTTAGGGTCACGAGAAAAAGGGAATGAGCTGCAATAAGACTGAAGGGACAGG